TTACCAGCAGTTCTTTACTGAATATCAGTGGAGCTTAGGCCCCTGGTTTCTTCACTGGCTCAACACACAGCAGAGCTCCATTGTCTTGCCTCCATCTAGTGTTCAGCAGTGAAACTGCTTACTGATCTGTGAATCTAATCAGATCTATAAAACAAGCTGCGTCTTGTCTCATTTGTCAGAGGAAAGGGGCAGAGATAACACTCCATGAAAGAGTGGGGAAAGAGTCTGTGTATACTAAATTAGACAAATAATGAAATAAAAGTTGAATCTCGTATAAACGAGAAACCCTGTAAGAAATTATGAAGAAGTTGGTCTTCCTCATGCAAAGGTATAGTTAGTTATTTAGAGACTGTTCCAAATGTGTATTCTTTAACTTTAAAATGAACTTGTGAATTTAATTCAGTTGGATCAGCCCCTAAACACAGAATGTCCAAATGCAAAACTACATATTTTAAGATGTAACATTACTCTAAAAAACATATATTGTTCATAATATCTGCTACGTTCCATTTACCTCAGAAGATGGAGGTTGCATCTGGGAATGACGTCACACCTTATTTGACTGCGTTCCAGTAAAAACAACAGGTTTAAGTTGGAAAACCATGATTGATGCTTCTGGCCATTGTTAGCAATACCAGCTGATAACAATGCATTACGCTGCATTTTGCACATACAAACACTGTTGCAACATGTCCACAGATATAAGTTGGACAGCAGTGTGTGTAAGACTGATTTAATGAGACACAAATAAGACAGATGTGCGATCAACATTATATTACTTAAGCTTTCACTGTTGTTGATGCTGGGAGCAGCTATCTTGGATTTCGAAGTCAGGGTTGGTGAGGTTCTCCCAACTTTCTGAGTGGAAATTTCAGACTTTGGGAATTCCTACTTCCCATGTTCAATGGAACGCGCCATTAGAAACTAGGTAACTGGTAGTCACTGATTTGATCTGAATTGGTAACTGCTTATACTGAACAATTTCTGTGTGTGATTAGTTTTTTACAAGTTCTAGTACAGTTTCAAAATTAAACTCATTACCGGGTGATTTAACAGATGTGCATAAATTAAGTTAATGTCCTGTCTGTATATGTGTTTCAGGCAGTAAGTAATAATTCATGTGTAATGTGTTTGTTTGTACCTGGGAGCACACTAAGTCTGTCCCATCATGTCCTCTGCCAACTTCCTTCACCTTCGCCAATGATATCATTGGAATGTGTATTTGTGTGTGCCTGTGTGTGTGTGTGTGTGTGTGTGTGTGTGTGTGTGTGTGTGTGTGTGCCTGTGTGTGCCTGTGTGTGTGTGTGTGTGTGTGTGTGTGTGTGTGTGTGTGTGTGTGTGTGTGTGTGTGTGTGTGTGTGTGTGTGCCTGTGTGTGTGTGTGTGTGTGTGTGTGTGTGTGTGTGTGTTTGCATGCGCTTAGGAGCAGGGGATGGGCACAATATGTAGAGCATCAACATGCATCTTCACTCCGAAGGCTGACTCATCCCTATATATCACGCAAACACACCATCATGTCTTGGCATCGTTTCTTTCATGTTTGCTCGTTTTCTTTTCCATCAGCTTGGCAGCGGAGGGTGTCAAGGAGGCGGAACAGTCTGAAAAAAAGATGCATCACTGACAGGCTCGGAGAAGTGAGGTAAATCCTCAGGTGAGTCACAGTTCTGTGACCTGTTAAAGCACTTTTCTGCAGAGAGACAGAGACAAAGTTGTGAGCAAATACTTTCTCACAAACTGATTTTGGTAAATGGCCAACGCATGTATTGTTCAATACATTTTACAGTAGGCCTGCAACCAGTGGAGGGTTGTAACATTCTTCTGTATCTTCGAGCTCTTTTAAGCCAGTGCATTCAAAATGTGATACAAACTAGTAACATGTGTCTGCTAATAAATGGAGTAGCTGCTCTCCACAACACAGACATAAAACTAATGGTTTTGTCTCAAACACAAGGAGAAAAATGTTACAATTCACCCCATAGTCTGGGTTAGTTGTAACATAACCTGGAGTGAAATGTAAAATTATGTAATAAGGAATATGAGAAATGTGATTTATAAAGCTTTTTTAACATTTAAATTATTTTTTTAATATAATTGGAGTGTGTGTGTGTGTGTGTGTGTGTGTGTGTGTGTGTGTGTGGGTGTGCGTGCGTGTGTGCGTGTCAGTGATAAGGACGTGAGTTTGAGACTTAGACTCGAGTCACACTGACGTTGCACACACAGTGACGTCAGACTCGAGACTCATTCTCAAAAGACTTCAGACTCGACTCGGACTCGAGGTCCGGGACTCGTGTTTATTTTTAGGAAACGTCTGATGAGCTTGCTGTTATTCCCCTCCCTGCGTTACCTATAACCTGCCTACGTAACACGTAGTATCAGCTGCCTGAGACCACACGTGAGAGAAGACAACAAACATCAGCAGCTGCTCAGCCATTCATAATAAACTTTGGCTTAAAACTTCGACTCTCGTTCGTTATGAAAAGATGAATGAGCGTTTGTTTACTTGCCAAACTTGTGGTGGTTGATTAACCTAATCATTTACATCCCGCTGGCTGCCATCACATTAGTTATTAACGTCGGCTGCGAACAGGTTACAGGTTTATTGTTGATCATGTAACGTTACAGTTTCATTTATTTATAACATTACACTGGTTTGAGAGTCTGGTGGTGTGTTGACGTACAGTACTTTATAAGATGTCATAAGTTGTAGACGCATTGTACATTAGGCTACATGGCTGTGCTCTCTAAGTGAAAAACAGGTTACAGTTACAGACTCCCTTATAGCAGTGTTCCAAGCAGCCTGGATTAAACGCAGCAGGTAATACAACATTCATTAATCACGAGTGACTTGAGACTTGACTTGGATTCTAGCTCAGAGACTTGTTGTGAGCATCTCTGGTAGGGGTGATCCAAATATTTCAGTTACTGTCAAGGCTAAGAGGCTAATATCAATCATGTATGTTTCAGATTATTAATATTTGTTTAAATGTGATAGGAACCGTTCATTAGTGACTACACTAGTCACCACTACAGGTTCATGTAGAGTACAGTTGTTAGCTCAATTATTTGCTAACAGTTTTCAAAAGATGGTCTAGAGATATGGACCAAGAAAGGAGGGGGGCCCACAGAGACTGCTTATGTATAGGGCCAAGAATTTTGTGCTACGCCTCTGTACAAAACGTCAGACAATTGTCCCAGAGTGGTCCAAAATCCTAAAGATATTCATTTTATTATCATTTTAGAAAACAAAAAGAAGCAAATCCTTACATTTTAAGATTTCTTGATTCAAATGTGGAGATTCATTTTCACTCGAGTAACTGATTGATCGACAAATTGTTTCCGCTCTATTTCACAGTACAAAAGTTTAGATTAAACTGACATTTCTTATGTGACATTCACTCTAAATCTGTAATGGAGTCAACTTTTGAGGATCAGTTGTTTTTGTATTGTTCTTGTGTTTAGCAATTTTGTTAGCAAATCCACGCTGTTCACTGTGAAAATAGCATCAAATCTTTTCAATCCTCCCATTCTGTTGGCAACATTTCTTTTGTAACGACACAAAGAGCCAGGCTTTTCGCACTCTTATTCACCTGATGTGGAATCGGATTTAAGATAAATAAGAGACAGAACTACAAAAAAATGTGTTCTCTGGAGAATTGCGTGGTACGAGTCCAGCTTTCACTCATGAGTCTCTTGAGGAGCCAGACGAGTAGATAAACTGGCACTGCAGTGAGTGGAGATCTGTTTTTGTGCCAGAAAGGGAGGAGGAAGAGACATGCCGTCACTGAGTGCTGTCAGCCACACTCGTCTCTCACTGGTGAGTCAAGGCTTTCTACTGATTCACGTCTGTGAAGAAGCTGAACAAGGGGCTCAAAGTGTAGTCACTCTCCTCCTTTTTCTCACCACAGATATCCTCCTCTTCCTATTATTTTACTCCTCCTCTCCATTCATCTCTTTGTCCGTATTCCCTTTCCTTCCTGCCTGCTAATTGTTGTTGTACCTCACAATTTATTTCTCCACTGAGCCTGCAGTAGTTCTCCCCGGGCCAGATCTTTTCAGCAGCGTCTCGAGGCCCTTGCTGGGAGACCTCCAGGATGTTCAAAAAACTCTCACACACCCTTTTTCACCTGCGGGCCAGTGCAGCCCGACAGGGGATTTCACCGCGCTGATGACGGGGCACAGTCTTCCTTCCTGAGCCCACATAAATCTGTCTGTGGGCTCCGTCCTATAGTCTAATATTAAAGCTGTTTTCCATGACACGCTGCTCAGCAGGGGAGGGAAAGCTGTTGTTGAATAACATGAACTAGTGGGGCTTGGAGAAAAAAAATGTGGATACTCTTCTTGATCTGCACAAAGACCAACTGACCTATAACTAATTAGTGATGATCTCACTTGCTTTTGTTGCAGAGCAGTAGTTTTAACTTCTGTGCAGAAAGTAAAAAGTCCGGAAAGCATATTGTGTAAAATGCAGTACATGCACTTTTCATGTTTCTGCATTGTTTATCGATTTTTAGATTCTCACAGCACAAACACTGTCAGTGCTGTCCTTCTCGCTGTCGGCCCATGCTTTTATTTTGCCGTGTGCAAAAAGCACCTTGACTTTTCTTCTCCAAGAAGAAAAATGACAAGAATGAACTTGTAAGGACATTTATCAACTGAGTGAAGGACCTCTGTCATCTCAGACTCAGAATAGTAGAGGCTACCGACCTTAGGCTATAATCAAACACACACACACCCACAGACATGCATGCACACACATTTGTAAAGCAAAGTGTTAATGCTATATGAAAGTCCTAAGAACCAAGTCTATTACAGCTAAAGATTTTGTAATGAAGAGGCATAACAGGAATCATATCATTTTCACATTTAATTTTGTCATGTACAAACTCTTTACCACTTTACAAACAGCCTTTTTATGTAATACAGAGAATAAATACATTAACAAATGTTGAACTTTGGGTCACATTTCCTTAAGATGCATTTCCTACAACTCAAAAGTGTAAGAACTAGTTACATAACAACGTAGCACATATGAAAGCTGTCCCATCTTTGTTGTTTGTCTACTAATTACTCCTTATATAAGTGTTTATGTTTCCTGTTACTCTCACAGTTTTAGTAATGTAACATTATTTCCAATAATTCAGCTTTTGCAGAAAGCCAAAAGATGACAATTAAACAACTGGAACACAAGTCTATAAGTGAATTAGCTACAGCAGACAGTGAAACATTCTTTAGATTTAACAATTTGAAATCTAAGATCAAAATATATTTCCCGATTTAAACAACATTCTGCAGTCTTGATCCATTGCACTTTTTTTTTTATATCTGTTAATTACATGACGGTGACTCTGCTCTGAAAGTGTTGCTGTCACTGAGTTAAAACGCAAAAACTGTTTTCTCCCTGAGGTCATTCAACAGTCCACTGGCGTCATCAGCTGCTTTCAGGGCTTACAGTGGTGGATGTGCCCTGCTACATTATGTCAGAGCACAGAGACAGGCTGTGCTCCGGCTCCTGCAGGTAGCTCACCTGCCACGGATGCCCCAGAGCTGGAGACGGCTCCACAAAAGTGTCCATGTATCTCTGAGTGCAGGAGGCCCACACCCCGGGCTGGTACCCCAACCCCTCACCCACCTGAGGATATCGCAGAGGACTGGGAGGATGGTCGTGGGGGCTGCCGCAGTGTCCATGTGAGGCATAAAGCTGTCCCTCAGTGGGATAACAAGGGTAGTGTGGCGACGGGGGACATGACGACATAGTGTTATCCATGTAGATGTGTGGCTCCGCGGGCAGCCTGTGCATGTGAGGCCCTTGTTGTGGCTGCATCTGGTGAGAAACAGATGTGTGCCAGGGGACGTAACTCTGATGCTCCGGACAAGGAACCGTTACCCTGGTGTGCTCGAGTCGAGATGCTCCCATCGCAGCTGGCCCCACAGATGACCTGTTGCACTCCCGATGGGTGCAGGACTTGCTGGGGGGGTTGGAGCTCAGGAACACTGAGAGAGCGGAGATGCGGTTGATGGCCCTCTGCAGTGTGGCAATCTTGGAGAGCCTTTTGCCGCTGAGGTCGTGGTTCAGAGCAACACGTAGGGCATTGAAGGCCTGGTTGTAGTCCATGATGCGTTTTCGCTCGCGGACATTGGCAGCCATTCTTCGAGCTTTTGAGCGGACGGGTCGATTGCGCTTCTTGGTCTGGCCTTCCTCTGGGTCACTTGGGCTGCTGCTTGAGCTCTCACTGTCTTGGAAAGATGCCTTGGGACTTCCCTCGTCCTCCTCCTGGCCCAGCATGCCAAGTTCCAGCTCTTCCTCAGAGAACTCTGATCCTGCAACACTGCTACAGCTCATTGTGTCAATAACATGGACACTAGACGAGTCTGAGTAAAATCTTCGTACTTGTTTTGTAGTAGTATTGAAGTATCTGAGTCATTTAAATGTGGTCTGCGTGGAACAGTATGTTTGCAGACTGCTACTGTTACTGGACTTGCTCCCTGAGTGCTCCTTGTCTTGTGGGGCTGCCGGTATTTGCTGCCGTGCCGACAGCCCAGGGATTCTCTTCCTCTGACTCCTCTTGTGCCTTGTGATTACTTGTACCTCAACAAGACAGGTTGGCCTGCTTTTTAAAGCTGTTGAAGTCACATGGTACAGTCACCTGTGAGGAATGGTACACTCTCTCTCCCTCTCCAGGTTTATGGGCGCCCTCGAGGCAAATGGCACTGTCGCCTCCTCCTCCTACTCTGACTCTCCCTCATAACCCTTACAGGATCTTAAAGAAGAGTTTCAACACTTCATGTCAGTGTAAAACATATTCGCAAAACATACTAATTATGTGGAAATAGCAATTAACTCCATACTTCCTTTAACAACTTTATAAGAAGATTCGATTCCATTTTTCACTCCTTACCATATTTGTGTGTTTTTATTTCAGACTTTCCATTATGCAGTAGAGTTATTAAAAGCTAGGTTACTGCTAGTCATTACAATTCCTTTATTTACAAAGAACAACAGTGTACCATGCCTCTCAGACTGAATGTCCAACAAAATGAATATTTCTTTCCGTGCACAGCAACACATGTCCCTCTTACTTCGTAACCTTTGTTAGCAATGAAGGAACATTCGTCTAAATAGATATTCCATGGATATTAGTCTCAGGGACAAAAATTTATGACAAATTGCACATTTATCCAAGTGGCCTAATCTGTTCTACACGTTTCCCCTTTTCTCAGGTCTGGGAAGAGAGGAACCTTCTTATCTACCATAGGTTAGATTTGTCCTTGCAATTAGCGTTCTCTAAATTGGCGATTCTTCCTCTCTCTGTCTCTCTTTCTCTGCTCAGGTTTAAGGGCCATGTAATTTAAAGTAGCCTCCCTGCAACCCATCCCCATAAATCAGGCCAGGGCAGCACCTGAGGACAAGAGCAGAGCGAGCCATAGACTTCAAAGAGAGGGAAAAAACAAGGGCAAATATTTTGCAATTAGAACCTGCAATTGCTGCTGGTTAGGCTATCGATCTTTCAGACATCAGTGAAGAAGTGGTTCCATTTTGATCAAATATAGACTGTTGCAAATCTTAAAAATGTTTTTTTATTTATAACCTTTGATTTGGATGTGATTACATGTCATTTTCTAATCAAAGGAATAGGAGCAGACTCTTTTATTTACACCTCTTCCTCCTCTTGACACAAAACGGCCGTGGACAATAGGACAGACCTGCATCCACATGAAAGATCTATGTGCCTGATATTGTGGTGGACAGTGAAAGGTGATTGCACTGACCTTTTAGCTAGGCTTCTGGACAAGTGCAACGGGTCAGGTAACTAAAGGGAGCCCTCAGACACTGAACTGGGGGTCGTTGAAATGCATTGCTTCCTTCCTGCCCTCTTCTTTTTATTGTATGTGTTGCAGCTCTGAGACACCAACCTTTAAACCAATTACAGCCCAGATTTTCAGCTCTAAAAGCACAACTATAATTGATTTGGAGTGGGAAACTTTAGTCTAGCCTTTTTACTGTCCAGGAGATAATTCACTCATATAAAGTTTTTTTCTATGTATATACCCCTACTTATATAGAAACTGTATGGATACCTCCTGAGGTTTTGCACAATTTTTTATGCTCAATGAACATATTTGAATTATTTCTGGGATCTGTAGGTATGTTCTATTATATTTACAATAAACCAAGGGATTTTTCATTCACAAAGGAGAGCTTGATCTTTTATTTTTTCTGTAAAAATTGAAGACCCTGCCCTAAAGTTTTCTCATTTCAAACCTACACAGTTAGATCCAGATCTCAACAGTCCAAGATGCAATTTTGTGTATCAAATATTTCTCTCTGACAAAATAAAGCCCTGATGACACAAGGTGTGTTCGTACTTCAGTAGTTTCATATGAAAAAAATGAATTATCTTCTTACTTAAATGTATTAGAAAACAGTATGTAGATTGCAGAGAAGATCTTAAAACCAACACAACAAATTGGGAAAAAGATTTAGATATAGTGGTTAAAGCGTCACAGTGCACAAACACTTAAAATACAATGTTCATTCTCTTGTTTTGCATTTAACCGATCCATTCCTGTTTAACCACTTACAATTCAATAAAAATAAATAAATAAACAAACCACTATTCTTACCACGCCTTTTAAATAACCCTGCTGATCTTCTGCGTACTTTTATAGCTAAAACTGTTTAAAATGTTCAGGCAACGCCACTCTGCTCCAAGTGCGTAGGCTTTATCACAAGCTGTGATTTATAGCTTCACAAACATGTCAGATTTACTGCTGTGGTGTCAAGAGCATGAAGACTACAGCCTCGGACTCTCCCCGTCCATTCATTTTTGACAGGTGACAAGACACCAGTAATTATCAGCCGCCGGGAATAAATCACAAGATTTTATCACGCAGCTCGCCATGCCCTTGATGGAATAACCATTTTTAAAGCAAAGGGAACCTGTCCAATGCCGCTGAACCTAAGATTTGTAAATCTACTGCTCAAGCCCCCCGTAATGACTGGTTGTTAGGCGTTTGTTATTAGAGGTCTGTGTGCCAAGCGTTATAGATGTATATTTCCAAAGGGGTAGTTAGGGGTAATAAGCGAGTATGGTCCGGGTTCCCTAACCTTGGCTTTGCAGTGGTATGTTAATGTATGTTTTTGGTGTCTGCCATGGAATTTTCTCACCTCATTAAAAAGCCTCCAGTCCAAAAAATGGTTTGCGGTTATCTCTGCCCCTCCGCTATTTGTCACACCACAACCCTATAGGACAGTTGATGTCTGTAAAAATCAATGTTATCAACTATACACTGCCAATCTGTGGTCATTTCATGACAGTTATTTTATTTACCATACTCTTATCTCTTTTATTGCAAAAACACTGTATTGCTTCCATAGTAAAAGAAGGAATTTACCTTTTGGGGAAGAAAAAAAGAAACGTGATTCCATCAAAACATGATTTTATTTTGAGTGAAAATTATGTATTAATGTACCAGAGATTTCCAATTCTTTGTGAATCATATCCTACTCATGTTTACATGATAAAATATAACGATCGATTTTTGGTGCAAAGTTAATTCATCAACTGCAGTGGCGGAAGAAGTATTTTATATAAATGTAGCAATATCACTCTGTAACAAGTAAAGGTCCTGAATTCAAATGTTTACTTCAGTAATAGTAGAATGTGTTATTGGGAAAAATTAAGTAAAAGTACTTGTTGAGCAGATTGGCCATTTCAGTGTTGTATTATAATGAATATTATATAGAATATTATTACCGATACACTAACATGTACATAGCATTTTAATGTTACAGCTCGTTGAGGTGCAGCTAATTTTAATTAATTAATTTTAACTAAATATTTTCTACACTGTTGGGTACTTAAATTTACAACATGTTTCTTATTTTACAAGTGGATTATATGTTTTGCAAAAAAAGGAAATATTAAATAAGGTACAACCACCTAAAACCACCAAAATTGAACGTAAGTACAATACTTGATTAATTGTACTTAATTTCACTGATGAAATATCAAAATAATCATGTATTCTCCATACAAATGTGTTTTCTGAGGACTGTAGAAATCCAGAATCTAGGATCTGGCTTGGGTGCTTATGGGACAGTGAGCTGTCCAGCAGATCTCTGTCCATCTATCAGTTTTGATCTTTGCTGTCAGCACCGAATGCTGCCTGTCATGGCCTGTTGTGTCAGAGACCCACCAGTGAAGGAGATGATCAGACCTCTCTGAGTCACACTTTCCTCTGTGGTGAGTGAACAGAGTAAGTCTGAAGTCTTTAAGAACCATTTCAACGTTTGCAAAAACTAACCAACAAAAGAACAACATGCCCCCTTGATCTAAGGTAGTCAGTCTCAGTATTAGCTGATATCATCTGTCAGCATGTGGCGCAGAGACATACTTAAGTGAAACATGCTTTGGTGACATGGTGAGAGAGTGTCTCACAGATCTAGTCCAACATGTTAAAAACAAAACGTGAAGAGAGCAAGCCGACTGACACAACAATGGTGAATCATTCTGTCTGAAATTACTGGCAATTACGTGTAGTTGGCTGCTGAAAAATCAGCATGCATGCCAGCTATAAAATCTCAGTTGTCGGGTTGAAACAGTGCCCCGGGTATTTCAGCACGCACAGCTCAACATTGAAAGTGTTATTCACAGAATATCTGTCACAGTGTTAGCTATTAATCATAGAGGTGTGTTGAAGTTTATTCTGCAACATTAGAGATGTTTCCAGTGGTTTACCACTCTGAGAACTTGAAAGTGTTGTGATTTATGGGGGGAAAACTAGTAAAGTAAAATAGTTGTTTGCTTATAAAGCATGTTGTGATCAAGGATAATAAATGTTGTCATCCTTTTTCATCAAGCAGTTAATCATACCAGGGTCAAGTTCACCGGAAAAGACACCACTGAACATCTTTCCTATTTCTTAAGTTAATATTTACTGCCATGTATCCACGCCAAGTATATATCTTATTTAGTTTTAAGTCTTGATGTTGTTGAATGTTAACCCTTTATAGCAACAGTAACCACTTGATCAATGAGACATTTTTGTTTCAGTCAGGTCATAAGGACAAGCTGGTTGCCATGTAGAGAAAAACAGCACAATTTGTGTTTGGGTCACAAAAAATCCTGCACTCTCTAATTTAGCCATAAGCAGAACATTACCATAACCTCCCGTCTTAGTGATTTATACCTTGTAACAAAACCATGCAAATCTGTCAGTACTGATGTCATGACATGTCTAACAGTTTCCTCCACATAGGAATGTCAGTATACATCCTCCCCTGCCCTAAATACTTGAATCATTATATGACGACTTGTTTTTAGAGGATAGTATTTATGG